TTGTATATGTCTTTGTAGCGCTCTCTACCACGGTAGCGTCTATCATTACCCCTTTCTCTCCTCCTCCTTTCACCTTCTTCTCTTGCTCTTTGTGCTTCCTGTAAAGATCCTTAAATTACTTAGGAACACAAAACATGCAAACTAAGGTTCATCATAGAATCTTTGAAAAAGTAAAATGAATAAAAAGTCCTGCAAATAACCTCTTCCTCTTGTACTTTTCTAACTTTCTCTGCCTCTTCAAAGGCCTCTTTTTCTGCCTGAAAACTCAAAATAGTTGAAAATTGGCCACAGCCTTGGAAATGTCAACAACTAAGAAATACCAAAGAGCAGGACTCACTTCCTTGTGGGCAAACACTTCTTCAGCCACTTGTTTTGCATACTCCGGATCATCACAGATCAAAATGTTGTCAAAAAGGGAACCAGCTTTAACCTGCTCATTACATTTCAAGCTTGCATCATATACATAAAGTCTATTCAAAGTTAGCAACTTAATACCTATCTACTACTCTCTCACCTGCCAAACTTCAATCCCCACATATTTTATTGGCTTGAGCACATAGAGATCAGGGTCATCTTCAAACTCTGGATAGGAAGAAGACTGCTACTCAATTTTTTGTTGCAAATTGTTCCAATCCAAATACCAAAGAATGTCATTCAGGATAACATCTAAAGCAAATTTAAAGTATACAAAGAGAATACCTGGATTATCAATGTAAGGAATTTTCCATTTCCCTTTATAATTTGGGTTCTTGATTTTCTGTATTCCAAAAACTGATTATATTAAAAGAGATAATGCCACAATAGAAAATCAACAATGTTGGCTTTCAAAGCTTGAACAACATACCTTGCGTTTCCAAGGTCCTTTATAAGCTGGATTTGGTATCTTTGGTGGTTTCCAAACACCATCCTTATCTTCATCCCAGTTGTCAGGCTGAGAGGAAAATAAAATGAGTTCAGTCTTCGTCAGTGACCCCTGATAATTGGAAAAAAAATAATAATAATTCTAAAGCAGCCAACTCACTTGTTTAGCATTTGGATCAGAGATTTCTTTTGGAATTGAATCATATCCCTGCAGCACCAGATACAAAACGAGCAGCACAGGTACATTAATCATTATAACCTAAGTTGATAAACCTTAAGGGTATTCACTAAGATCAATATCAATAGTTTGTTACCTCTGGTTTGACATCTTCAGGATCTTCAATATATTCTCTGTCATCCCAGTCAGCAGGCTGCAAGAGATGCCAGTCGGATGCATGAA